GGTGCCACCAGTATTCTGGTTTGAAAACTCGGACTGATATTATTCACTTTCTACATTTCATTTTTTGGGTGTTTTATTTTTACGCATTTACATTTCTTTTTCTTGTAGTATACGGTGTGTTAATAAATGTAAAAATATCCACCTTGGTGATTTGTTTTCAAACGACTGTTTCTAGAACATTTTCAATACGATAATTTTTAATATGAAGAGCTAGCTTCAATTTATCAAAAGTGACCCATTCCGTCAGCTCTCGTTCAGTTATCAAGTTAATTCTCATAGCGCATCAGCTCTTTTTATAGTATCGTGGCATGTTCATTCTGTAGACGAAATGATGGTCTCCGCTCTCCGGTTCCATTACATTTGTACCCACGACAATTGCACCTATGGAAATTTTGTGTATTACGGATATTTAAACCTATACCAACCCTAACCCATGGGTTTTAGCACCCGCATATACAGTTGTGTACATTACTACAGAACCAACAATCTATTGATATCTATTTAAACAAGAAACTGCAAAAATATAAAATCAAGTGAATATGAATAACGTGTGATGTACCTGTGCAATATATGCCTCGACAAGAGGGCTCATAGACTATGGGACAGTATTGGTTTCCAAAAATTCTGTTATTCAGGTACAAGCATTCCATAATGGATGTTCTAAACATCGCAGTGTATTTCCTCGTCACACATTTTGCACAACAACATAAAGAAGGCGTCGAGAACTGAAAATCACGACTCGTGGATTTTGGTGACTCTATTATAATACATGTGGACATCACAAGTGCGACTCTGTGGGACAAATTTGCAATGCCCAAAAAAGTCAGTGACTTCAGCAAATGGTTTTAAAACGGGAGAGAGCTGCCGCATGATCTCGTTCAGTCATCAAGGTAATTCTCATAGCGCTTCAGCTCTCTTTTTCTAGTATTGTGGCATGTTCATTCTGTAGACGAAATAATGGTCTCCGGTTCCATTACATTTGAACCCACGACAATTGCACCTATGAAAATTTTTTGTTTCACGGATAGTTAAACCCATACTAACCCTAACCCATGGGTTTTAGCACCCGCATATAGATTGAACCCGCGGATATACAAATGGGTTCAAATGTACGGTCACCATACGCTTCAGTCTATTGCCTTTTCTTCGAGTCAGATGGTATTGTTGACGCCCATTGCCCTGCACAAGTTTAGCATCCTTATTCTTGACCTACCTCTGGTTCTCTTACCTTTAGTTTCATTCTCCAGAATGTGCCGTTCGATTCTATCGTTTTCGCGAAATAGGTGAAAAAGCGACCGACCAGCATTCTTCTTAGAACTTTTGCATTTGAAGCTTTCGCTGTCCACGAAAGTCAAAGCATTCGTCGATAGAGCCACATCTCGGCTGCCTCCAAACGTTCTTGTTGATTGTCCAAGACTCACATCCGGATGTCAGAACTGACGTAAGACCAGACGCAACACCTTAGCTGCCTTTTCGTTGTGCCAAGACTCAGATTTCGTGCACACAGGACACTTTTCATATTCATAAACGTTTTCTTCGCGACTGCTATTCTGCTGTTGATATCTGATTCTGAGAGATCTGCAGAGTGCCGAATTTGGACCCATCGGACCGGACCCACGGCACTCTGCGTTACATATATAGCCTAACTACTACTAATGTAATTATCTCACTATCCGGTACTCCCTCTTCCCTCAGTTTCCTTCGTGTGGGCGGCAATGCTTTTTTGGTCCGATTTATGGCCTTGGCACTTCTGCTGCCAAAACGAAATTCAAAAGATATTTCCGGTTGTTTATCAGTACTTTTTGCCCTTCTCTGTTTACGTTTTATGTCACGCTCCCTTTTAGTTTCTTTGTATAGCATGTTCTAAAGGAGACAGCAAGTTGAACTTCCTCCTTCTATTTTGTCGATAACGCTTTATATGTATTCTTCTCTACTCTCTTTCCCTTTCCGGATTTTCTAGTTTTCAATTTGGGGGCTCCCGAAGTATGCGAACCAAGATGGCGGACATCGGAATGTAATATGTGTACTAGGTTAGGGTTAGGCCATAATTTTAGGTATAAATACTACGGGAGGCTCTTGGCTAGTCTTCGAACTAATAATAGGACTAAAATAAGGACAATTGGAAAAAAACTATCGCCTAGCCCTAACCTGTTACCCATGTTACGTTCCGATGTCCGCCACCTTGGTTCGCATACTTCGGGAGCCCCTCGATTTGTTTGTTTTCTTTCCATATTTATCTTGGACTTGTGTACAACATAACCATTAATCTATTGATATCTATTTCCTTATCACACATTCTGCACAACAAGATAAAGAAGGCATCCAGAACTGAAAATCACGGCTCGTGTATTTTGGTGATTCTATGGGATATGTGGGCATGTGGTACTGACGTGAATTGCCAGCTTTCTGAATGAAACTTGCATGCATTTCTTTCTTTGTGATGATGTAGCAAGTTCAAGCCTCTCGAAATGTTGAAATAATCTACTTGCAGCCGCGAGCGTTCGATGAATGGCAGACAAATTGAGGCCTCGATTCAGGCAAAACTGCAAAGGGTGAGAGCAACAACTTATCTCATACCCGCCAAATTTCTCTTTGGGAATTCTTTTTTCGATGCTTTCGTGTTCGATCCATTATCACTGATGGCTTCAACAACAATGGGTGTATTGATTTGAAAGTCTTGCGAAATATCCTCCATCTATCACAAGATGTTTTCACCAGTGTCCTTCCTCTCGTCTAGTGGTCTAACTCTAAGAAAGCATGAACATAGTTGGAATGTGGACTCTATATAATGACAATTCACTCCGAGAAATGACTTTATGTTTACGCTAGTCCGAACGTCAATCACTACGTTTACATGTACACGATAATCGTTTCGGCAAAAAACGTTCCCAAATCGTATTTCGGACAATCGAACGCCATAATTTGTCTCGAGTTTACATGGACACCATTGAATTTCGATCCGGTTAAAAATATCCCGCGCGTTCAGACTATCGTATTTGACATGAGATTTCGTTACCAGTCTTACGTTTTACTCCTTCTTTTGAATTCCTCGGAACAAACCGGATACAACTTTATAATTTTTATATATGTAAACATTTAACCAAGATATTGAAGGTTTTAAGTAGTCATCTTCATAACTTTAAATGCTATTTTTTAAGAAAAACATAAAAACGTTATATTTTATTTTGGTAAGTTGTTAATGTTCTTAATCTGGCATACCACTTCAGGTATCTACTTCTGCACCACGTTCCTTGAAACACCGGTAACTGCTTACAGCATAGGGCGTTGAATTTGTATTTAAAATTCTATGCAGACATTCATTGAAAAGCAATTGTTACGGTAACGTTTCTGCACTTCATAGTTAATAATTATACAAGAAAGTACTGTAAATGGTTATTTGCTACTGAATGGAACAAAAAAGAAGAACATGGATTTGTCTCAGGTGAAGGATTTAAAATATTTATTTTTTGATGTTTATTGGATGAGTTTATGATATTTATTCAAAATGCCAAAAGGATACTTGATGTTTTTATGATTTCGCTACTGCATATACCGTGTATTCTATAACAGTATAAGGCATTTTCGTGGTGGACGAATCATCATCCATAAGATCTTGCCATGGAGGTGATATGTTTGCTCACAGCAGCAGGAGATATTGACCATCATCATATTGTTATTTTCAGGTTCTGCCCACTTTGATTACGATTCGAATGATGCAATTAATAATGCTGTTTCTGATGAATGAAAGATTTAAGCTATGTCAGGTTATGCTGAGGCGTAGCCGGCTCAATTTTTTGAAAAAAGTTTATTGTATTTGTACACCTACGAAGAAAAGACGTCGAAAGCGAAGATTTTGGAAAAAGACACGAACTTCAGAATGGTGGGATAGAATCGTAAATCAGCATTTTGGCAATGAAGATTGGATAAAAAATTTCCGGGTAAATTTACAGATTTACCTCTTTTAAGACTTTTTAAGGAAATTTTATATGTACTTAATTTTATCAAATCCAAGTGATAAATGAACTGATGTGAATTTTTTAAAATAAGAAAATTTTGTTTTTAAGGTATCCTGGAGTACATTTCAATACATTGTGGAACAAGTCAGACCCTATATGTCACCAAAACAGAACTGGGTTAGACCGCCTTTGCCAGTGGAAAAGAGGGTTGCTGTGGCTTTATACAAACTCGCTAGTTGCTGTGAATACAGGGTGGTTGCAAATATATTCGGGATTGCAAAATGCACAGTGCATGCCTGTGTTTATCAATTTTGCAGGTAGTTCTTGGCTTTCAATATTTAGCAAGTCATTGGTTATGTAACTACTCATTTTTAAAATTTTCATGCCAGGGTTTTCACCGATTATATTGCAAAACAACATATCGCCTTTCCATCAGATATTGAAGCTATTGAAATCAGTGAACGAATTTTCAAAGTCCACAGTTTTCCGCATGTATATGGGGCGATTGATGGAACTCACATTCCTATTTTACCGCCAAAGACAGGTTATAGAGATTTTACCAATCGCAAACGATGGCATCTATAATATTACAGGCTGTTGTAGATGATAGATGCATGTAAGTAAGAGATAAGAGTTAAGTGAGGTATTCTTTACAGAAAGCAGGCTTAATATGAAAAACACCCAAGCAGCTAAAAATCCTGATGATTAGTTGTAATGTCAGTTTCTAGAAGTTCATCGTTAGAGTATAAACTAAACTGATGCAAATGCATATTTAATTATTTAAAGTTATTTTCAATCAGATTCAGAGATATATCTTGTTCAATGCCAGGAAGTGTGCATGATGCAACAGTACTGAAAAATTCTTCGCTGTACAAGCTTGCTGTGGCAGGAAGTCTTCCTTCGGTAACAAGCACGTTGTATTCATTTCAAAAGGGTCACAACAGTAGTTATAATATTTTTTTACAGACCATAAAGCGAATTCAAAATTGTGACGTCCCGCTGATGATACTAGGCGATCCAGCATACCCTTTGCAAACATGGCTCTTTAAATCCATCTGAAGAGTCTTTTAATGTGTATCTTTCATCTGCACGCAATGTGGTGGAACATGCATTTGGACGACTCAAAAGCAGGTAAAGACCTATTACAACTAATTCAATGAAAGGACAAGCACTATTGAAAGGAAATCTATTAATTAATATTATATTCAGATGGAGATGTCTATCTAAAAGATGCGACATTAGCTACAAGTTTATGCCAAAGGTTGTCGCAACATGCTGTGTGCTGCACAATATATGTGAGAAAAGGAAAGATGTATTTCTAGGAAGATGGTCAAATGAAACTTATGTTGCCCAACCACAGCCGGAACGTAGATCAGCGGCCAGCAATTGCAGTGAAGCAGTACAAAATAGGGAGGCATTGAGAATCTTTTTGGAGGAAAATTTTCCTTTGAGAAAAAGTTCATTGTAGTTACTTCCCTATTTGATTCTCAATGAGACTAACAATATTACTTTTTTGAACATTTTTTCACCTGTCAGTTGCAATTAATTCAGCAGGATTTGTTCACTAATCTTAACGAACTTGCCTTTTACTTTAGATGACTCTGCACATAAGTGGAACATTGTTTTGGTTTTTATATTTATTGTAGCATGCACCAATTTCAATTTGTCATTTTGAGAATAAACGCATTTTCGACACTTGAGTATGGTTGTTGTGGCCCAGTAAACTTGAGATTCATTTGTTGGTGTCTTAAAAGAAATTTTAAACAGATAAAAAAGTCTTCGGATTATGTGCGCTCTTTGAAGCAGGAGTGTGTGCAATAGAAACATAAAAGAATAGGATTTCCATAACCATATATACAATGGCGATCGTATATGTTCAGTACAATAATAGTTAACACTCGAGTTCAGGCCCCATGATTCAAAACCAGCTAACTCTCATATAGTCAAGGGGTGCGGTATCGACAAGACGAACTTGAAATTCATGCATGTACAAAACTTATGTGCATTTACCTTGAGTTTTCGAAAGCTGTGAAACGCATGCAGAAAATACCGATCCCATCTCTTGCACAGCCTCTTGTAATAATTTGGCATGAGCTTCCATTTGTTCACGCATCATATTTTCTTCCCATATTCGTTGCTTTTCGAAAAGGCTTTCCAAGTCAATAGAATGTCTTTTTCCTGCATAGTGGCATAAGAGAGTTAAGTTTTCCCAGCTAGATAAGGCCCAGTTCTTTATCAAAGTTTTACAGATACATGATTGAGTAAGACTTAGTCATTTGGGACCTTTTATACATATTTAAGTATATATATGTTCATACATACCAGAATCTGAATTCTCGCCATAATTGGATGAAATGTCGGTACTGGAAGTTGCCCCTTCTTCAGCACCTGAGCATGACGTTGCCCCTTCTTCACCACCTGAGCATGAAGTTGCCCCTTCTTCAGCACCTAAGCAAAACAATTCAATTAACATTATGTGCATGAAAGAGCATGGTAGATATTAATCTAATTTCTATGTTTATCCACAGACAGAGAAAAGCCAATAAGACGGCGTAATCATATGGCTGGATGTCAGTTCATGTCGGGTATGGGAATGTTGCAGGCACATGGACTTGATAGCGAATGAGAGACCAGTTGATTAATGCGACTATCCTTAGCAGTCAAATATTGAGACAGGTCCACTTTTGGCTAACATGTAGAAATATACGAGTTTATTTCATAGCATTTTAGACTGAACTACTCCAGAAGACATACCTTGATCTTCTGGTGTGCTAAAAAGCATTTCATTCTGTGATTCCTCGATTTCTGAAATAAAAATCATCAGCATGATAGTATGCACATAAATTAGGAAAAAATGTAGAATTCAACTGCATAAATCAAAAATAATAAAGAAAAGTAGTTACCTAGTGACACCGTGTTGGTGATTCCAAAATTGACTCCCATATGGGTATAATCAACTGCTGGACGATGGCCGAAAATTTCATAGAGCTCATCGTAATACTCGCATGTTTTGTGAGCCGCCCCACTGACAGAATTCAGACGTACTATCTTGTTGAAATTGGAACGCAACGCCTTGACTTTATTACGTATTTGTTGGAAACTACAAATGGAAGAACACCTTTCTTCAATTAGCCAAATTAAAAGCTGAAAACAAACTGCTAGTCACTAGAATTGAACATACTTTGTAAATGATGATATTTTGCTAAAAAGCCAACACATTTTTCTGAAATTTGGAATCAATAGGCTGCCACTTAACAACATAACAATGGTGTTCTCAAACCTTTTTTCATATCCTTTTGCTGTCAACTGTTTCTCAACCTCTTTGTACAGAACTTCTGACCTGGACTTCTTTTGGTCAAGCAGACCAACCAAATTCATTTCTTGGACAATGCCAAGCATTGTTTTAATCTCGCTGCCTTCCCACTTAGTTTTAAGAGTAGATGCAGGCTCCATTTTTCTCGTAAACAAAATAATACTAATTCTCTATGGTAACTTTTAACTAAATATAAATCAGTGAACTGAATACGCTACTGTGCTGAGAGTTTGATTTATATGGGCAATAAATTATATAACTCTTTGAAATAAATTTATTTTTTTACCGAGGCAGACAATTTATCCCCAATTGATTTACAACTTACTTTACTACAGTTGACAGTTACTAGTCCAGTGAGAATTACTATATTGCGATATTACATTTCAGCATTTAGTATACAATCAATACACCAACTTAACATCTTGACAATGGCTGAACTGTCGTTAGATTATTCAAAACTGCGGAATAAATCGCACATTTTCCAATGATTTGAATATTGCAAATCCTCGGTATTGTACCAAGGTTTGTTTAATTTTGCAATGTCCAGGTCTTTGTTTCATATAAATGGTAAGTCTATCCGTAGATCATATATATGCCTATTATCTACCAGCATTACAGCACTAGGTAACATTATACATTTATAAGCATATTAAATTCATAATCAGCATACAGCTGTACAGGCATACTGCTGTACTGGCATAGCAGGCAATATATTCGACTGTAAATATGCAATGAAATGATTTATAAAGACAAATAAAAATCTCTTCCTGACGTGGTACTGCACTATACTCATGGTACTTGCGGTTACTCTCAACAACCTACTGTCAGACTGTATATAGTAATTTGCCTAATTACATTATAAGGTGTATTGTGTACTAAACTGAAAGTCCTTTCTCTTTGTTCAGTTGTTTACTTTCTATTGCATACCGTACCAGTATCTGTAATGCTTGATTGCGATAGTATTATAAAGATAAATATGAATAACATAATCATGTTATTCATATTTACATTATACGGTCAACTTCCACACTTACCCTGGTACCAGTACTAGAATTCGGCAATTCGCGCACGACACAGTACCGGTAACAAACTGTTGTTCCCTTTGACTTCGACGGATCCAAGACTAACAATTCTGATGGTGGAGAATTTCATCCAGAATCGAAAATTACTTTTAAAAAAGCCAAAACTTTCTGCCAACGGAAGCGCTGTGGCAGTACCGGTACCGGTATCACACATTTCACGCAGAGCAAGCGAGCAACACTATAGACCTAAACTACACTTGCAAAACCTGTTCGCGCGTGCGAGGAAAGCATCGTGTCAGCTCTAATCTACCCTGTGCAATCGTGTTGGGATATCACGATGCAAACACGCTGAGTCATGATTGGCCATCGAACCAAAGTGTTTACATGAACACGATTCGCTCAAAATACGGTTTTGGCACGATAATCGTCGCCATGTAAACGTAGTGAATGATAAGTATAAAACTTAGCTTAGCCGTTTTAGAAAAAATATTTTTACTCTGTTCGCCAGCTGCATGTGCGTCGGGATGACATATCATGATGTGGTTCATGATAGGCTACGGGGTTACAAAAGTTCTCACTTTTATTTTTATTTTTTTTCACTTCACTTGAATGCAGCCCAACGCCTCCATGCCCAGTAGATGCCGATGGAAGTTTAGTTCATCACCCTTAAAAAGGTTTTTTTTATTTATCACATGTTGCAAATAAACTTCCTTTCACCTTTCATCATATCCGTTTTATGATGCATTTGATATTGTCGCGACGGTGTTGCTACGCCTTAGGAATACGCTCGTCACCCCAGTGGTGAGCTGTAGCCGGAACGCACCGGAACGGCGTTCCGGTTGTTGGATATTTTAGTGTATTTGCGTTCCTGTTGTTGAAATAAAATTGTGGTACAAAAGGTCTAGTTTCTCTGGTAAACTTACTTATTAAGTTATGTTTTGTTACAACATAATTCGTAAATCTTTTAACGTCACATCACGCAAATAATTAATACAGCAGTAACGTGTAGTGGATGTTCCCCCCGACATTTGACCCCATGAAAATTCATTCTATACCTTTTCTAATAATAACATTTGAATTGCTATGAATACTCTTATAATTTTACACAAACATATTTCATATAATTTTTTTTGCAGTTCATTGCAGTTCTGTAAACGTCCTCGTCGTGTTGTGAATATATTATATTTTTGCACATTAGGTGCGTTCCGGTTGTTACGATTTCTCCAGCTTATCACTGCGCCACCCCATCTATGATTCTTCTGCATGGGTTCAGTGAGATTTTATCACGAACAGTAAAAGTTATATCGTCGGCATATAGTTTTGCTCTGCTCTTCCTTTTGTAATGCCTTCAATTCTTTCTCACGTTCAACGACAGAGATGGGCATCATGTCTGCCGAAATAACATTGGTTATGAGTTCTGTATGTTTGTGCATCATTTGCAAATAGTTTTTTGACCGCACCCATGAGGCCTGAGCTCGTTGAAATGCTTCCACTCCTGTGCTTTTCTCCTCGGTAAGGGTTTACATGAGCCTCATCTCCAACCAGTAGGGTGCTTTGCGGCGTTGAATTGGATGTCTGACTCAATCATGAGGGCTCTCTCTAATATCGAGAGCTGTATACAAATACTCCAGCGTGCGTCTGACATCGGCGAGTGCCGTGTGTAATCCACGCGTTCAATCCAGCTATGGACGAGTGTCGTGTGCAATCCACACATTTGATGTACCGGCGCGGGAGCACAGGCCACGTGTTACTAGATATTCAAATATTAAAATGTCATTGGAATAATTTAATATTCGATTCGTTATTCGAATATTTTCCCCAGACCTACTCTCAATCCAGGTTAAAGTTGAATGGGGTTTTTGATCTCGACATTACGTTTACCATGTTAAATTTGAAAGTAGTCTTCTCGTTTTGGGAGATTCTAGTCTTTTCTGACATTATTATTCTGGTCTTGTTTGCTCATTCGTCATAGATTTCAATAGCTGATATGACTACAATATCAAACATTGACCCAAAATATAATAAGAGTCAGTGGCGGCGTGTGGTCATTTTGACAACCGGGGCAAGCTACTGCGGGACCAAGTCACCCCCATCTACGGGGACAGGATGAGCGCTGCAAGTTCTCCCATCATTTTATGAGTATAAAACCATTCCATCGGTAACAACCAATCGGCAAAAGCGACAATTTTTAACGATAAGAAATTGTCTTTAAAACCGGTCCAAGTCAAGGGATTAATAAATATAGACATAGTTTATTTTGAAACCTCTTTCAAAAGGAAAGGCAATATTTACCCAGATAAATACAATGACATATTAACAGAAACTTCGGGAAAGCAGACAAAACCTAAAATAAGGTTTAAAACGTTACTATGAAGAAAGGAAAGGTAATGCAAAGATAAGGACATGCGTCGCTCACTCATAGATATATATGCTGCTAGACTTCTACTGCTTGAACATATATGCAACACGCCGCGGTTTCTTGGAAGCAAAATGCTCAATAACGCGCTGATTAAAGTCATGCATCCCAGAAATAACGTCTCTGTGAATGGATAAAACAGCCAAGGACTTTAATCTATCTTGCTTCATTGTGTTTCTGAGATACGTTTTAATACGCTTCAGCGTGCTGAATGTTCGCTCTGCGTCGGCGGAAGAAATAGGCGTCGTCAAAATGATGCCCAGAAATTTTGCAGACGCCGCAAAGGTAGTTACTAGAGTGTTATTTATGAGGAACCCATAGAGCGCGCAAGTTGATGTGATGTTCAAAAAAGTTTGATTGGTGTATATACATCGCAATTCATTTTCCAATTTACCCACGTTTATCATGGGGTAAAATTTGGAGACAGTAGCCAACAAATGGATGGGAAATTGACGTGCAAATTTTGAAAAATTTTCGGGGTTCATCAAAGAGAACGCGCCAAGGTGTTCAGTGCGCAGACGATCGCCTATTCGATTCACCAGAATGTCACAGCATTCCTTTGCAGATAAAATCAAACGCTGCGTTGTTTGCCCGCGGCGTAAAGAGGCACTCCATGTGTCGTCGTATTTTATTTTTTCCCGGATACGAGATACAGCATCGCAGAAGTCTGAAATACACGACTGCACAGACGCTCCATCCATTAGCCTTGACTGCAATGCGCCGTATAATACATCCACGTGATAGAATATTGTGAAGAAAAAAGCGAGAAAAAATGAAAACTCACCATCTTCTAGCAGACGCTTTAGACCTGCCACCTCCCTCACAGAGCGTTCGTCCCAAACCGGAAAGCTCTGAATGCCATTGAAACACTCAATGAGCTCAGACCTAATTTCGGACACGCCCTGCACCACGCGTGATTGGAAGTTACAACGTGTTGGTGCACAAGCTGGGAGACGGCGGCTACATATCTGGCGAAGGAGGTCAGAGCGCTTCGGCGAAACGGAAAAAAATGAAGAAAACCCCGAAACATTTGCAAAAAATATACGGACGAGAGGGGTATCAAGACACATATTTTTAATAACGAGGTTAAATTGGTGTGCATGACAATGTAAAAAATGCGCATGAGGAAAATCTTCTTTTATATAAACTTGAACACCATGTTTCGACCCACTCATGACTGCCGCGCCGTCATAAGTTTGAGCTATCAATTTTGACTTCGCGTTGTAAGGCTTTAACACTTCTTTCAGTACAGCCGATATCCCGCAAGCCGTGCGATCAACGATTGGTACAAAGCTGTGAAATCTCTCGGTTGGGTAGTTACTAGAGTGTTATCTATGAGGAACCCATAGAGCGCACAAGTTGATGTGATGTTCAAAAAAGTTTGATTGGTGTATATACATCGCAATTCATTTTCCAATTTACCCACGTTTATCATGGGGTAAAATTTGGATACAGTAGCCAACAAATGGATGGGAAATTGACGTGCAAATTTTGAAAAAATTTTGGGGTTCATCAAAGAGAACGCGCCAAGGTGTTCAGTGCGCAGACGATCGCCTATTTGATTCACCAGAATGTCACAGCATTCCTTTGCAGACAAAATCAAACGCTGCGTTGTTTGCCCGCGGCGTAAAGAAGCACTCCATGTGTCGTCGTATTTTATTGTTTCCCGGATACGAGATACAGCATCGCAGAAGTCTGAAATACACGACTGCACAGACGCTCCATCCATTAGCCTTGACTGCAATGCGCCGTATAATACATCCACGTGATAGAATATTGTGGAGAAAAAAAGCGAGAAAAAATGAAAACTCACCATCTTCTAGCAGACGCTTTAGACCTGCCGCCTCTCTCACAGAGCGTTCGTCCCAAACCGGAAAGCTCTGAATGCCATTGAAACACTCAATGAGCTCAGACCTAATTTCGGACACGCCCTGCACCACGCGTGATTGGAAGTTCCAACCTGTTGGTGCACAAGCTGGGAGACGGCGGCTACATATCTGGCGAAGGAGGTCAGAGCGCTTCGGCGAAACGGAAAAAAATGAAGAAAACCCCGAAACATTTGCAAAAAATATACGGACGAGAGGGGTATCAAGACACATATTTTTAATAACGAGGTTAAATTGGTGTGCATAACAATGTAAAAATTGCGCATGAGGAAAATCTTCTTTTATATAAACTTAAACACCATGTTTCGACCCACTCATGACTGCCGCGCCGTCATAAGTTGCGGCATCAAGATGATCTCTCAATACTGTATCTAGGGATGCGGTGTATTCCACCATATCCAAAAATACCCCTCTATTAGAAGAGTCAGCCCGTTCATCGTGCCCACGGAGGGACAGCTCGTGACAACCAATGAACTTCAAAACATCTATCAATCGACCGAGAACAGGGCGGTTTTTCTCGACGTTTTGGTTGTGCCGACGAATAGAAACCGCGCGTCCTTCATCCAACTGTGCTGCAATATTAACATTTCCGAATGTTCGGTATTTTACTGCATTGTCCAGATGCTCCATAGAAGATTGATGATCCCTGGCACGCTCGGAAAGATGTTTAAGATCTCTAAAACCAAATTTACACCAACGTGAGTCATGGGCGGTAGCAAAAAGTAGGCAATAAAAACAAAAAAGTGCATTTTTGTCCTCGCTGTAACACAACCATTCGTGTTTTTTATACCAAGTTTCTGCGCAGAATGTACGCCGACGCTTTCCTCCGTCATGGGATTGTTCCAGTGAACAATTTTTTGGTTGATAAGGCCCAAGACGTTGTACCTCTAATTTTTGTTCCAGCGGCAGCTGCGAAAACGGAGTGCGAAGTAGTGCATCAACCTTATTCATTATGAGGTCTAAGGCTAAGAAATGCGAAGCCGTAAAGAAGTGAGGAGCTCAAAAGGAATGTGGAAAATCGAAAGCAAATGGACTAAAGGTCTCTAACTGATTCAAATAGCAAAACGAAGGCGAGGAAACTATCAACTCTTCAAGCAACCAACGAACGAGAAGGAATGCGTGAATATGTCAACACGTTGTTGTAAGAAACGTCGGCATTGTGTCGTCATAATTTCGGGGCTAGCACCGATCGGCCCCGATGATTTAGTAAAAGAAACAGAAAACAAACGAGACAAATGCGGCGAGTGGAAGATAAAAGAAAGAATACGATATACAATGAGCAACCGGGGCAAAATCGGCGTCGCCCCGTCGACGTTCGGCGAAGGCTTTGCGAGCGAAAAATGAACCATGTCGGGAGAATATGGCTAGTGTAGACAGTCTGTGCAACCGATATTGAGGTATTTTTCGAATATTTTTTATTATACCGAAAAAACAACCGGGGCATTGCCCCGGTTGGCCCTATTGACGCACCGCCACTGATCAATTGTATATATGTTTTATTAGACACGTAGTGGACATAGCGATCGTTTCAATATTATGTTGTTGTTCTTGTTATTGGACACGTAGTGGACATAGCGATCGTTTTGTTGTTCTTGTTGTTCTTTGACACGTTTTGAAGAAATCGCTTTTCTTTTTGATTACTGGACCAATTGCTTTGAAATTTTTAGTGGTCAAAGATAAAATTTTTCTCCAGAAGGCTGTTACTCTTTTTTCGCTATGACGTCATCAAAATTATGTGGCTCTACGTGTCCGCATATTTGAGCATAGTTCTCTTGTTGAACACGTTTAGTGGACATCACGATCGTTTTGTTGTTATGTTGTTCTTTGACACTTTTTGGACACCTAGTGTCCAAAAAAACGCTTTTCTCTTTGATCACTGGACCAATTGCTTTGAAATTTTTAGTGGTTAAAGATGAAATTTGTCTCCAGAAGGCTATTACTTTTATTTATTTTAAATATATCTGTGAGATTTGTTTTTGTTTGCTATGACGTCACCGAACGTTCTGCGGACATCGGACGCCATTTTGTGTCCTACTGTACTTCTTCGGTTGGTGTGAATATATTTGTAGACTGTGATCTGACGGTACGATAAACCGTACTGTACTGCGAACAGACGTGTCCATATATTTGGGCGTAGCTCTCTTGTTCTTATTTTTCTCCTTCGCCTTTTTTTTGGACACCTAGTGGAACATCTAAAAACCGCTTTTCTCTTAGATTACTGGACCAATTGCTTTGAAATTTTTAGTGGTTAAAGATGAAATTTTTCTCCAGAAGGCTATTACTTTTATTTATTTCAAATATTCCTGTTAGCTCTGTGAGATTTGTTTTTGTTTGCTATGACGTCACTGAACGTTCTGCGGACATCGGACGCCATTTTGTGTCCGACTGTACTGCTTCGCTTGGTGTGAATATATTCGTAGACTGTGATCTGACGGTATGGTAAACCTTCTGTACTGCGAACAGACGTGTCCATATATTTGGGCGTAACTCTCTTGTTCTACATATGAAGATAATGTGATTGACGTTGTGTAATCAGTAGAGCTGGCTCATTTCGAATCCCTGATTTCAGAATCGCATCGAATATTTTTTTCGAATTGAATCTCGAATACTTGGGAGTTATATAATTCTATGCGACTTATTTTATTGTAATAGGTCCTGTCAATAAATTAATTACTGAAAACATAGAATACACCACTCAGACAGATTGCTTAGCGTCCACACACAATAAGAAACACGTTGTATCAATAACCCATTACATAAACTAGTCATATGTCTGATTTGCGTTGAAAAAATATGGCTTCGATAGAAAAAAAATGAGGAATTCTCCTCGGCCATTGGAAGTAAGACAAAAAAAGATGATGGCGATTTGAAATTTTGCTCGAATTCGAATAATTCACTATTCGCTTCAAAATACCCAGCCCTAGTCAGTAATGATCAGCCAAAGAGTCAACAATCTTCATGCGTTGCAGGTTAATGGACGACATACTTATACTTTTTGCAGCTTCAGGAGTGATTTACTCCAAACTTGATGAACAGCAAATCCAAATGAACCAATCAGCTGAAAACATTTCAAGTTTACATCGTTCTCATAAACAACTGGCGATATCAGTGATACAAGGTCACGATGTTAATCATGTATAAAGGGACTTCAGTCAATAGTCGTAACTTTCCACCCACGCCTTTTCATTCAGCCTGTTTAATCGGGGAATACCCTGTTAGTCTCAAAGCAGGCTTAATGTCAATTACAAGTACAGTAATTTGTATTGCACAATATTTGTTGTTTAACAGCCAAAGCCTCGCTCATCAATGATAACAGTACTACGATAATCAAAATGTTTAATCAGATACTCGAACTTTGGCTGTCGCTGCCCCATCACCAACTTTGGTCCCCCGTCCCTTTTCCAGTGAATTTGTATTCAGCATTATTTCTCTGATTTAAAATTTGCATGTTATTTTTTTCTGAATGGAAAAAATTAACTTGACTATAATTTGTGGTCTTGGTGATTCCAGATCTCCGGGTTTAGGTTGGTTTTTCCAATCAGAAATCTGAATCACTGCTGCAATGTAATAAAACCTTTTTACAGACTCAGAGATAGTTCACTCCAAACTCAATGAACAGCAAATCCGCTTAAATCAATCTATTGGCCATATATCAAGTCTGAATATTTCTCACCAGCAATTCATGAAATCGTTTATACAAGAACGTAGGTTGAGTATTTTTTTAATGTCAATCTAAACTAGATATGAGGCTATATTGTATAAAATAGGTTTGTGACGGTGATATACGCTCCGTCACTTTGGTAGACGAATTTTTTTTAAACGATGTTTCGAACGTCTTTACAGTACTGCATAAATTTTTTTTTACAGTTTTCCCGAAAGATTGCACAAGTGTAAATCGTGAATATGCAAAAATTCAGAACACCACCGGCGGAGTCTTCGATATTTATCCGGACTCAAGAACCAAACCTGTCGAAGTTTACTGCGATATTGTAACGGATGGAGGTGTATTGATTGTATTTTATAATCGTCTAATTACTTCTTAATATAATGACTTTCATGGATTTTACGTAACTAAAATGACTATATTCGTTTGTGTTATAATTTCAAAACACGTTACCTAGTAGTATAGTTTTTAAGTAAGAAGATACAATATCCTGGATTAGTCATTTATTGAAAACGGCAACTCGACAAAAAGCAGCCTAGCGGACGAGGAAGACAGCAATATATATATTTCGCTAGCGCCTCGTGATTGTAGTCTTATAATGCAATTTGAAAATTGTATATTCGCAAAATCGTTAGAACTAGCAAAAACAGAAAAAAGTCTACAAGAAGCGAACATTATGGTCCGTGACAACAGCTATTGAAGACAAAACTATTTTATAATATATTTATCACAACATTGTAACTGCATTTGTAATATTCCTAAGGTGTTTCAAAGACGAATGGACGGAACAGAAGATTTTTACAGAGGATGGAACTACTATGTCAATGGATTTGGAGAAAAAGATAAAGAAATGTGGTTAGGTGGGTGTAGTGCATTTCGACGATAAAATATTACAAATGCTATACAATCAATAAAATTTATAACAAACGAAAACTTTTCCAAATAATCAAAGTAATCATATGTTTTGAATTCTTCCATTTCAGGCTTAGAAACAATCCATCAACTGCCTAAAACCGGAAATTTTGAATTAAGAGTTGAATTGGAAGATTTTAATGGAAACACTACTTATGTCACATATGGTTAAGTATAAAAATACAGTTTATCTTTATAAATTTTGAGATAATGAACCCGCATCGATTATACTCAATTAGTCGAGCATTCTGCTATTTCTCCCACATATATAGTGTGATATTATTCCCTGACTGGAAACCAAGTTTTCTTAACCGTCACAAAATTCGAGTCACGTGTCATACAGCAGTATAAGCGCGAAGTAAGTTGAATCAGTTGAAATCAGGATCTAATTTTAAGGATATTGTGTGTGATGTCACTACAAGTATACATTCGTGCAAATTTATATCCTGTATTACCGATATGAACGTCGGGCGAGATATTTTATTAAATGTTTACTTAACCTGCCAGAAATATCATTGATGCAACCTTCAACCTTTGTTTTCATGAAAACGACATTCTTCCGAAAATTCGACTCCTTTGTTTTGCAATTGAATCGATGTGTTAGGCATATATTGATCGCATTCATTCATGCCTATTTTTTCACTGTTAAAACGTTAAGGACTAATAAAATATGCTAAAATTAGGCTTTGATAAAAATCTATAAAAAGTCCTATTGAGATATTGGGTTACATAATTCCGCTCGATACCTGTGCTAAAGAAGCCTCCTAATTTAGCGTAGTCTACGTTTATTCTGCTTTTCATGATTGTATTTACTGCTATAGTCCTAACTCTGCAAGCTAATGTAAGTTGTTGTTGCATTGGATCACATTTTCTAATAAATTTTCCGCTACCTTTTTTATTATAAAATAAATTCCCCATTAAGACAAACAACTATGAATAATATACTTAAAATATTTCATTGGTTATTCTTTGTATCAAGTTATGCATTGTCCAACAAAAACCTATTATAAATCCTTCATTATGTGATATCACAATATGATATTATCCTAGTTTAGAATTAGGTGAACAATATTTAAATATTATACCATCTAATAAATTTGACTCGCAATTGAGTCTGTATTATAATGCCTAGCAATTTTTATTAAATCCTTTGATATATTTATATTACTTCCAGATCGGAAGTTGTCGATTTGGTTAGCGCTGGCAAGCAAATAGCTATCAAAAAGTAAGAAGGAAAGTTATTGGTTTATGATTTGTTACGTACAAAATGTGAAAACTGGATTGGAACCCATTATTTACAAATGACCAGGGTTGGACATTTTGATTTCTTTCTTTGTCTTCAATGAGATGATTTATTATTATATACGAAAAATACTATTCAATCTATTCTATATAATACGTTGAACACATTTTATAACAAATGAGGATTGCTATAGATTATCATCCAAATTACTCAATGTTAGTCTAACCGAAAATCTTCAATTGTGTGAACAAAGCTTTATTGGTATAACATATGTGTAAAGTCCAAGTTCCAAAATACCTAGTTGCACATGAACGCCTTAAAAATTGTTTTTAGATCTTTTTCACAAATAAATAACGTATTTGAAATTGTATCAGCCCCAATTTTGGTGATTTTGCGATCAATCTACTTTGCTTTCAACTTCTTAAAGACTCTGTCTTTATCAATTTTTCATTCGGATTTGCCATGTTGTTTGTAGATTGAATCAGATAAAAAAAAAAGTGTATATTCTTTTTGTAAGGATAGGAATATTTTTTTTTTCAGGCTGTTTGCTTGATGAAGTGATAAAATTCTCATTTTTGGATTTTTTTCCTGTAACCGATTGACTATGTCTGTTTTTAACAATGCCTCGTGATCTTTTGCTTTTTACTCCTTTTCGTGTACACTACGTTTAATGTTTTGGGACGTGTGTTCAATTTGGTGATTTTTCTTACCATTTGCTATCGTGTTGAAAATTAATCAATATGTAATTTTTTCACGTATCATGTGAATAATTCTCTTCCTTGATTGTCAGTTCAAGGCAGGAGTGTGTAAACTTATTTAATAAAAATGGCACGTGACTGCTCGAGAATTCATTCGGGGAAAAGATTAAATTTGACAATGTATCGACCTTTCAGGCAAACTAATATGTACAATTTATTACGTCGCATTTGGTGTCATTCACCATTTTTTTACATATTTCTTCAGACTTTCTGTCCCAAATTAATAGCGTTTGCGTTTTATTTCCATTGTTTATTCTAATTTGAAAGAAGTACAAATAAATAATGTATGTAGTTGAATCATGTATGTTCGAGGAAAACTGAGTCTGGTCAGATGAAACCTTACAGGAATATATTTGTTTTAGTGTGAAGCAAGATTCTAGAATCACTCATTAGTAAATGAGTGCAGTCTAAACAAGAATAATAATTTATGTCTTATTTTTCTAGGGAAAAAAGCATGACTCAGATATAAGAAAAGTTCACAAAACTCATATTGTTTGCTTCATACCTGTTGATTGTGTTCTTATCATGAATAAGCCCGGTAGAAATCACCATTGCTCGATTATGTGAATACGCCACGTTTAACGTTGTTGTATTTGGCTATACAGTAAATGTTTCCAAAACACAACTAAAGTCATAGGTGACCCTTGACGTATATAGGGTGCGCATACACTAAGAAAGTTAAAACTGCAAAGGAATTTATGGTACTTTTTCGGTACTTTATACTTTTTTGTCCCTCACAGACGTAATAAATGAACTAAAAATACTTGAACAATTGCTGACTGAAAAACAACAAACCTGGTTAAGATATGTATATCGGGAACTGTATTCGTAACAAAATTGAAATTGTAAAGGGACTTTATGGAACCCTGTATATACATCTTTAGCTATTTATTACGCACATAGTGATAAATATCAGCAATAGAAAGCATCATCTCGTGTTCAGGATGATTAAATAATAATATGGAGCGCAAAATTATCTTTGTTCCAATCGCATGAGTAACAAACATTACTCGTGACAAGTCACACGTATTGTTTATTCAACGCTTTATAAACCTGTTTTGTAGGATACGTGTCATGTCATTTTATGAATCAATTACCGGTAGGCTACTCATATGCATCAAAGAATTACGAGACCAGGTCATAATATAGCGAGTTTACACTCGTGAAAAAATTGATGTTCATCACTTGGGAAGATTCATTTTGGAGGACCGATCGACCTGTCAAGATGTCTACAGCCGAAACGATATTCCACTCTGATATTCCAGATAATACAAATGGAAGCAAAGCTTTGCCATCGAATAACAATATTTCCGAAACGGCAACCGTTCAGCAGCAAAAACAAAAAGGTATTATAACTTCTAGTTTATACGTGGTATCATTCGTTTCCAACATAGCTTTGTTTTTCAATTAATGAAAACATACTATTACATTCGCATTTCTATAAGATGCATAACGTGACTTTCCCTGTGAAAAATTTATCACGAACCATTGAATTTTCTGGAAACCTGGACATAACTGTCTTTATTACAAATCCTATGAATATTCGGTCATTGTTTGAATTCTTCTACCATTCCAGTTACTAAAGACACAGCAGTAAGAAGAGGACTGATTGCTCTGACAATATTTGTATCATTAGTTGTTGGGCTTGTTGTTTTCTGTCTTGTGATCATCACACAGGTATGAAAAATGTACCAGAGGTCATTCTATCAATATACCGGAAGTCTAATGCACCAACATCGTGACAAAAGTATTTTGTCAAAACGTTACAAATTCACAATGCGATACAATCTCTTTTTCATTTATATTTAAGATACAACGACGCTATTTACCCCAACTATGAAATCTGACCTAAATATTTTATTAGTGTAAGAGCAAATCATTTTTTTGGATCATACAGAAAATTATTAAAACTGACGGGTTTGATGACGTCACAAAGCAATAATCAATGCGAAGTTTCGATCGATCTGCACGATTGAACTAAAAATTTTAAAATCATATTACTTGATTTTAATACCCTTCACTGGGATCTAGTTGTATGTTATTATTCAGAATAAACTGCCCATGATAGTCGCAAATTTAGTAGCAGCATGAATGTAATATGTGGCAAGGGTCATCTTTAGATCCTTCAATGCCCTTATAAGCTACATATAAATAGTGATGAAAATAATTATTTTGTACCAATAGCTACAGTATGAAATGAGAATTATGAAAGAGCGATTAGAAAATCAAGAACACCAGTCCTCTGGACAATTGAAATGGCTTGAACGAAATTTGACATCTGAAATTAACAATTCGTTTTCGGAATTGAAGATGATTGCAAATGAAGGTAATTTTTCTGTTTTAAATATAGTTCGGCATGTCGAACGAATGTTCTGTTGAATAAATAAAAAAGGTATTCATGAGCTGCGAGGAACTCTACAGACTTTGGTTTTGCCAATAAAATATCTTGCGAAATCATCAGCATATACACCTTATTACACATGTGGTTCACGTGTATATTTGGCCTTTCACTCCAGGTTAAAAAAAAATTGACTACCACTCTCGACTAAGAAAATGCCAACTGTGAAAAATTTGTGCGTTGCAAAGATAAAAGCCTTTCAGTTTCAGTTGAACATTTGGACTTACTCTGAACTTGCGACTCCGGCGAGGTGATTCGAATCCGACACCTCTGATTAATAATACTAGAAATTATATATATAATTTTACAGGAGTTTATCACAATTAGAAATGGCTGAATCTAGTAATCTGTAAAAATGTGACAATATTGTCTCTGACAGGCTTTGAAAAGGCGACAAAAAGGTTCCATTACATTTGCACCCACGGACATTTACACCCGTAATTTGAACCCACGATATTGCACCTGCATACTATTGCACCTATGGAATTTTTTTATACGGATATTTGAACTCATATTAACCCTAACCCATTGGTTTTAGCACTCGCATATAGATTGAACCCGCGGATATACGAATGCAAATGTATGGGTTCAAATGTACATGGGTGCAAATGTACGGTCACCGACAAAAAGTACTTGCTATCAGACATAAATAGCGTTAGGTTTTTACAGATTCAAGAGCGCTCTACTCGAAACTACAGCAACATCAGTTACAGATTAATCAGTCTCTTGAAAGAATTTTACATTTGAATCATTCCATTGAACTCCTGGTTACGGCAACACAAGGTAACACACAGAGCATTAAATGGGCGTGAGTTCTTTATGTCCGCACGGGAAGTCTTGAGTAACAAAGTGACATGCTAGTTGCGATGAAATTGCGTCTCGGCCCTCTCTTCCTAAGGCATCCTAATGTCAAACAATACATTGCGACGTTGAAGTTATGTAAATTTTTATTCCAAATACGCAATTAGTCCCGTATCCAATATGCTGATTTTGAACAAACGAATAGAGATTTCTTCATATCACTCATGTTTTTTCAATTAGTAGAGGCGATGTGTAGGACATCTAGTAGAATACGCGTGCAAATCAAATTTTTGGTCAATTAACTGAATAGCAATTATTTATTTACCCCACCCTCTATGTAAAAATCTGAACTATAATTTTTACCAGATTTTCCGAACGGTTGCACAAATGTACATCGCATCTATGCAAAGCGTCAAAACACCACCGGCGGAGTCTTTGATATATATCCCGAATCAGAACACACATCGGTGGAAGTTTACTGTGATCTTGAAACCGATGGAGGCGGATGGTTTGTAAGTTACACTTTTATTTATAATTGATTCCACATAACCAACATGATTGGGTTTAACGTTTCTATCTTTGTTATGAAACATTTGGTCTATTGCCGTGAATATTACGCCAATAAAAATAGATGAAACCATTTCCTGATTCGATTCATGCGATAGCAAATCAGCTCTAACGGAATTTATTAAGGTCTTTCAAAGAAGAATGGACGGAACGGAAGACTTCTACAGAGGATGGAACGACTATGTTAATGGATTTGGAGAAAAGGATAAAGAAATGTGGTTAGGTGGGTGTAGTTTATATCGACAAAAACTACAATTCTAAATTTAGTATATTGTCGTATGGAAAGCGGTACCAGTCGTCAGTAACCAGTTGCGTTACGTTAATTTAGGAACTAATAAAAATGGGCCAGATATAGATATACGAATCTTAAGTGCCTCAAATAGTACACCATTTTCACGCAAAGTAATATCTAATTTGATTCCTAACACAATTATTGAAACGAGCGCAAAAAGATATCTCGCGATTCGAGAGAAATCAGAGAATCGGCGCGCTCACATGACATCGTTATTCATATCACTTCGTTAACGCGGCAGAAATCTTTTAATTAAGATATACCACGACATCGGATGTAAAATAGGACTATCTTTTGTTTCGTCGAATATCTATTTATTGCGCCAGGCAAATAATATTACTAAGTTTACACCCGGGTAAAATTGATATCCATCACTAGGGAAGATTAATTTAGGAGGACCGATCGACCTGTCATGATGTCTACAGGCTAAATATTAAAAAATCCAATTTAAGGGAATCAATGGATAGTTGTTTAAAAGAATTGGAAGATATTAGTGGCAAATACGACAACGATGTGCGCATCGAAAAAGCGCGAATACAATAAGAAAATCGATAGCGTGCTGCATAAAGAGAATATTTAGCGAAAGTTTTCTGCGTCATGAACAACGTCCACTTCACTAGATTTGCAATCAAACGTTAGTAAATGAGTGTCCTAAGCCTACATAGTTGAAAAGACATCTTCGCGCAAAGCACGACTCTCGTCGCAATGAGTCTGCCTGATGACTTTTTTCATCGTTTTATTGCGAACTTCGGAAACACAATTAAGATCATTTGAGAGTGAGTTTCTGAATGCAGGGAAGCACACAAGAGCATCATTTGAGGCTTCCTTGATGATTGCAGTATTGGCAAGGAACTTCTTCTAGCAGCGGCAATTGCAATGAATGCAGTTGTTCACGGTGAAAAAGAGGCCAATGAAATGCGGAAAATTCTTAATCGAACAATACTGTGTCAAGCCGAATTTCCTAAAATTAGCAAAGATGAACAGGAGCAGCTCATTCTACGAATTAAGGAAAGCTGTGAATTTGTCATTCAGTTTGATGAATCGATGGACATTTTCAAATAAAGTGTACCTGGTGTCGTATGTCAGATACATTTACAATAACAATATTAACGAGGATTTACTGTCTTGTCAGCCATTATATGAACGTACTACAGAAATGATATTTTCACAGAAGTGAAACTGAAGACTGTGCAGTAGCAACATTGGGGCCTGCATTAACATACAGTGAGCTGGAAGTCGCACCCACATCACATTTTTGTTATTGAGTAGGCCTACTCAAACTTAAAAATACCTGTATGAATAAAACATCGAAAATGCATATTTCGAACTATTTAGCATTTTTACCTAGAAGAGAAGGAATTTTAATTTAATATATTGGAGGGGTGGGAGCGCAAAAGTTAAGGAAGCTTGGTTTAAACCAATAATGCTCCCATTTGGTTTTGATAATCGGATGTCTGTTGTTGCAGACTAGAGTGTGCGGCAATCCAAAAAAAAAAGTTCAATAGTTCTAGAGAGCACCATCAGATATGAGGGCCGACGTGCATTTGAATTGATATTAAATATTCATCTAAAATTTTCTTGAATGTTTTCGATTATTTTTTTCAAGCATGAAAGTTTGCTGAGCTTTTTCGGAAATTACTACCGGCTTTACTCCTCGTAATCAATTCATATGTTTTACATGCTCCATATTTAGGCTTGGAAACAATGCATCAACTGACTAAAAATGGAAGTTACGAACTAAGAGTTGATTTGGAAAATTTCAATGGAGACACTGCTCATGCTACATATAGGTTAGTGATGAAATATACTTTATCATTGATAACATATTTAAAGTCAGCCTGACATGGGCAAACTACGACCGGCGGGCCAAACAGGCCCGTTGGGTGATTCAATCTGGCCCTCCTGATGTTGCCATAACCAAACTTGAACCAAATTTTCATGTTTCAGCTAAAATTAGCGATTAAATCTAGCTATGTCACGAGGCTTATTGTTTTCCGCATTTGTTTGTTTTCGTAACACTGTAAATATTGTTCACAAAATCCAACTTTTACGTCACACTTACACTTTGTACTGAAATTTTTGCAAAATTTCGCTGTTTTCTCTTATAGAAACACCGTTTATACTCCGCCGAGCGGTTTTTTTTTTGTGAACTTGGTGGTCACATCTTCGTATGAGTATCATATCCTATCGGCACTGCGGTTAGGTATTGCAGGATTTCCCAAACAGGGGTCCATGATGACTGCACAGTGGGTCCGGTCCGCAGCGGTATGAGGAGTCTGATCGATTTTTAATGGTTTAGCGTTTCGAACAAATATGCATTTCTGTCGGAAAGGACAATTAAAATTTTATTGTCTTTTGTAATGACTTATATATGTGAAGCAGAATTCACAGCTCTTACCAATATGATAACAAAATACAGGTTGATAATCGTCGGAAAGTCGCACCTACAAGTTTGCTTGCTCCAAATTGCTCTGATAATTGATAAATTGTGAATGAAAACTAACCTCATTCATCACATCAATGTCGTTTGTGGTATAAATGAAACATTATCCTCACTCGTTGGTTTGGTACAGAAATTGATACGTCATAAGATCCACAAATAGGGGTCCACGGCCCAAAAAGTTTGGGAAACTCTGTTTGATAGGATCTTCGTGTTCATAAATATGAGCTTTCTCTCTTGTAATTACTAATATATACTACAGTCTAGCGAAATATTTTATAAAATTTCAGAATTACCACGAAATCAAATTTTATTTTTTGTTTTTAGAGCGTTCTCAATCGCATCTGCAAGTGATAAATATCGGTTGACACTTGGGGATTATAATGGAACAGCCGGAGATTCATTAGCATATCATAACAATATGCAGTTTAGTACGAAAGATTCTGACAATGACCAAACGTCCGGCAGTTGCGCAATCACTTGCAGTGGGGCTTGGTGGTACAATAGTTGTCATGACTCAAATCTGAATGGGATTTATTACCAGGACGGGCGCGATACGGCACAATCCGTTAGTTGGCATGACTGGAAATTTAATCGGCAGTCTCTGAAGTTCAGTGAGATGAAGTTTCGAAAAAAAACATAATTTCCAACTGAACTGAAATACAAAGACTGCATACTAAGATTTCAACTGGCTATGTCATTGCAATATTCTTCAGCGATGTACTGAAATTAAGCTTCGCTAAAAATGTAGATAATGCACTTTCGAGATATGGACTGATATAGATCTTCGCTCAATACCTAGGACGTAGTAGAGAAAAACGGTTGGATTGTGAAAACAAGTGAAACTTCCTTATTTGGCGTAGTCTATCAATATTCTGTATTTTATAATTTATTGTCTGATTCAAAACACAGTATGGGAGTGATTATTGCATTGCATCACATTTGCTGTTACATTCCACGCTATCTCTTGATTATACTATTTCCCATCGGGACAAACAGCTACAGCTAATATACTTAATATATTATATTGAAATTTCTTTATATCACAATACGTTTAAAAAGTTATGCATTGGCCATGGAAAGCTTACCATAAATCTCTCGTTTTGTGGCTTCCCGCTATTGAGCCCATATTATCATGCCTATCAAATTGTATAAAACCTCTGCTGGTATAATCACATAGTTATATTATTTCCAGATCGGAAGTTGCCGATTAAGTTAGCGCTAGCAACCTAATCTGTTCATTACACATAATACCTCTGGCCAGGATTGGGCGTTTTGATTACTTTGTCTTCAATGACATGATTCATTATTATATGCAAAAAAAAATAATATTTAATATATATCAATATTATACGTTAAACCCATTTAATGACAAAGAAGGTTTGCTATAGATTAATGATAGAAACCCCACAAAAAAGATATTTTAAGCTTAATTTGTACTTTAAATTGAGTTTCAGCAGCAATCTAGCTTGTAATTAATTAATGTTAGTTTAACTGAAATCTTTATTATTGTGAGCAAGGTTTTATCGGTAGGAAATATGTGTGAAGTCCAACTTTTTGACTAACTATAGTTGCGGAAGTACTAATGCAGTGGTTTCCAAACTTTTTTTTCGCGACCCAAATTTTCATGGAATCAAAGCCCACAGATACTCGCGCCCCCACAACTAGAAATGTTGAGCAACTTCAGAAATCAGTACTTTATACCAGTTTAATTACCTCAATGGGAACAATGTACTTGTATATCAACTGCAGATGGACGTTGGCGATGAACGAGTCCGGTAATGGGCCGGAAAACGGGGAAACTTCGGAAGACTTGATAACACATGGCATCCTATGAAAACCACAATTTTAAAATCTCTTAGATCAGAATTATAACGGTTCTTTGGCGACTCATAGACGGACTTGATGCGAATAAGTTGTTGACCCAATTTTGTATCAGTGTAGCCGCTTGGTTATGGAATATACGAAGCAAAGTTGCTTTATTTGTCAAACACCTTAATTAAGTGTTTGGCAAGTTTGGTATTTATTACTAGGCGGGGTATTTACACTTTAGGTTTAAACAATTACGAGTTGTTTAGAGTTAGACGACACTGACTTTAAAATTGGTCATTAATGCCACTGACATAACCTCTCTATCAATGTTTGTAAGTAGGGGAACTGTTGCAAATTAATCGTAACTTGGCCCTAAATTACTAATAAATATACTGAAACTTACTTATTCAATTTCAGATAACATAGAACACTAGTTTTTTTTATTAATATTTATTACATATTGGGCACTAAAATCTCAAGTGTTTATGGCCTCTAAAAGCCGCTTAAAAAAGAGTGACCTAAAAAAACAGAACCCAGGTATTTGAAAACATATTCCAGGGAAAACATAACTATTGTGCAGAGCGTTCTAGAATCTAGAATACTAAAAACTTATGGGGTACAGTCAAAATTTTTGAAAGGGGGCAAGTTGTAAATCTCCTTTCCAAATCCCCTCATCTCACCCAGGATGTGATAAATTGGATTGTAAAGTCGAACCGGGAAGACCCTTTCAAAGAATAGTAACTCCTTACGCATTAAATTGTTCATGTGTTAGACTTGAGTGAATTAAATTGTTTATGTGTTAGAATGAGCTTCATCAAAAAAAAATCGATTCAGCTCAAGTAGAGTTTGCAAAATAAACCCATCAATTTATTAAAATGACTTGGCTCTACTCCAGGACATCGCAATATGTGTATAATTAAGCTCAGAGATTGATTATTTGAATACTGTTATACAGATGTTAAATCTTATAATTATTATAGACGAACAAAAACAGTACTCTTGTTTTAAATTCGGCGAACTAATTAGTAAAAAATAAAATTAACAGCTCCAGAACGAGATGAAATTAGTGAACGGACAAATGTTAGATCAAGGCAACCAATCGTTTGGACAAATGAAATCGCTGGAAGAAAAACTAGAAAAAGAAATCAACAATTCGGTTTCGAAAATGAAGGAGATTATAACTAATGGTAATAATATTGTTTGATGGGCTGTTTGTCTTTAGTCTTATACTTCATGACTTGACTTAATGAGGCACATTGAAGGTACCTTAAACCAAAGGGAGAAATTTGAAAAAGCCAAGACATAGCTTTTGAGAAGACATATACTTTTGATTTTTGAACTTTTATTAACACACTTTGGTGAATACTGCCTCAAAATATGATTAGATACCGGCTTAGTTCTTGGTAATATTTTCACACAATTATTCGAGAATTCAACATACCCCTTTTTTGTCTTAGAACCCGCAATTTGTACTTAAGAATTTCTCATTGTCTGTTACAAATTGGCATATCAATTTTCACAGATTCCAAAGAGTTTAATTCGAAACTGCAACAACAGCAACTCCAGAATGACCATCGCCCCCCTAAAGTAGTTTATACAACTTCATCGCCCCCCGGCAATACAAAAAAATGTAAAGTGAGAAACGAATATATTACAGACCAAATAAAAAAACAAATCATAGTTTATAGTGTTTTATGAGATAGATGAGCTTGGTGTTTCCAGCGAGTTTTTTTTTATTATATCTAAAATTACCCCGTTTACTGGTGGAAAGGCGACTTCGTTGTTTTGATAGCAATAATAACACGACTGAAAACCCCTTTTCACCATATAATAGGTCGTAAATGAAAGAATCCAGTGTTCTATCTCCTCAAAAACCGCCGTGCACTCTTGCCTTATAGCATTTCACTTCCTAAATTCACCCCATTTCACATTAAAATAATGAAAACAAACTTAATTTTCCAAAACTTATAATAATGATTTTCGTACATCTCATTCATTCGTACAGCCTGATGACCTGCACCAAAATCCTTCGGTAAAATTCATCCCCGATTCCTCATTCTACTACGGCCTCCAGTCTGATCACCAGTCCATAATTACCCAGCCATTTGTTTTTGGATTCATGGACTCGGATGTGGAAGAAGCCGTGACTGACTATCGGCTACGGTCCAGGGGTCGGCAAATTTTATGTCGCTCGCAGGACAAAATTCAGGGTTGCTAGTCTTTTGCGGGTCGCATATATTTTTTGAAAGTTAAAAACAGAACAGCGCGCGAAAACTGCGACAATTCGTGACCTCAACTCAGTCGTCTTATTAAAAAAAATATTACAATGACATTTAATGTGACACTGTCTTGTTTTTGCATCACGCTGGGTAGCTTTACGACGCCAAGATTGAAACATTTTTTAAATGGGCATCACTAATCCCAGTTCTTTGCTTGTTCTTTGTAATGTTCATTTTCGAAAATAATTGTTCGCACAAATATGTACTTCCAAACATCGAAGTGAATATTTTCGCATGATTTGTGAAATTTTGATAACGATTTTCTTTAAGAAGATACATTCTTACAAAAATTAAGCAGTGATGAATCTCTCGAATAGAATATGAATTTTATTTCCTTATTGCTTTGCAATATATTCAAATATTGACTGCGCTATTGAACCCCTGCCCTCAGCATCAACTTTTCTTCGTGTTTCCATTTGTCTAATTATAATTAAATTGTAGGCTCGTTAAACGAGTAGCTAGCTGTTCAATGGAATTTTTTAGGATATAATAAAATTTAGTCCAAAAGTGTCTCACGATAAATTCTGTTACGTAGAAAAATTTAATTTACTCCTCGAGCGTAGATTATAATTAAAAAAAATTAATCGTCAAAACCGCCGTTTGGATGTTTCCCCGAGCATAGACTTCCTTGTTTACTTCGTGACATTGGCCAATCAGCAAGATGCAAAAAACGTAACAATGCCCCCTTTCGCATCCGCTCATGCTCTCAGACACGCTCACTCAGACAGATTTTCAGGCGTGGTCGTGAACATTACCTCATTTTTGCGTTTTTGAATCATATTCGTTAGTTTTTAGTTGTTTTTCGGAAATTTAAATCAAATAAGTCAATGATTACTTTGTCTTCCTATGAGTTTCAGATTAAATACAGCAATCACAAATTAGTGTAGAAATAGCTGTGGTAGAGTATGGGAAGAACTTTCCGCGGTCAAAGATCGGGGAAAGGTTCATTCAGTGAATCGTCCCGGGCCAGATTATTTTACTCCGGCCGTATTTTGCCGACCACTGGGATACGCAAACTACCGTACCTTACTGCGAAGACGAGTCCAGCAATCCTTTCGCGTGTGATAATCGCCCACATGATTCAAGCCTGCGAATGCACACATAGTACAGAATTAAGTGCGCCGAACATAAAACAGGTTTCGCGAAATCGCTCCCCTATCGCCCCCCTCTGTATCGTTTTCGCCCACTGGGGACGATCGCCCACTTTGGGAATCACTGCTCTAGACGACATTTCACGATTGAACTTTTCTTTTTCTTTCCTGGCAAGAATTACACAAGGTAGCGTATAACACATAAGAGCTTGTCTTATTTTCGAGAAAACACGTTAGGACATCAGATTCAAATAAGTCTGAATTATATTTATTAATGTATATCTGCACCCCATATCGAATCTCAATACTTTTTTATATATAACTTCTACGAGGGTCGATATATTTCCATTATTTTTCATTTGTTCATGAATGCAAATGTCCATGAGTCCGACTCCGAACGTCCGTGGGTGCAAAAGTATACAGGTACAAATGTTCTGGTGCAAACATATAGGTTGTCCATAAAGTCTTAAAATGTTTTAAAATTGCAAAGGGAATTTACCGATACCATATATTGTTTTGGACCTCACAAATGTATTAAATGAAATAAAATTACTTATTAATTACCGATTCAAAACAACAAACCTGATTAATATATATCGAGAACTGACTGCATCACAAAATTTAAACTGTAAAGGGACTTTTTGGACACCCTGTATATACATGATAATATTGCACAGTTCCCACCAAGTTCATCAAAATTCAGATCATCATTCTGGAACACACCTATTGTTGCACATATTCTACTTTACTATTCTGTAACAATATTTAAATTTTATGAACTTTTGACAGCTTTCCCCGAGGATTGCACGAAAGTTATTCGAAGCTATGCAAAAATTCAGAACACCACCGGTGGAGATATATATCCAGAGTCGAGAGACAAACTTGTCGAAGTTTACTGCGATATTGTAACAGATGGAGGCGGATGGATCGTGAGTGATAATTGATATAATATGGTTGTTGCATTAGCCATTCGTAGAGCTGAACAAATTTCGATTCAGTTGAAATCATTCTTTTTATTTTTGTTTTGTTTTCCTGTCCATAAAAATCGTGTGAGAAAAAGTAAATTGCGCTACTCAAACTTTGAAATTACCAACAATATTTCTCACAATCTTCTGTTTTGCTATATCTAATAAGATAATTCTACCACTGTGGTAGTACCACATGTACTTGAGAATGTATACTATTTATTAGCAACGATAAGAAAATCTAATATTCATGACCTTTAAAGGTCTTTCAAAGAAGAATGAATGGAACGGAAAACTTCTACAGAGAATGGAACGACTATGTCAATGGATTCGGAGAAAAAAAATAAAGAAATGTGGTTAGGTGGGTGCAAAGCATGTCGACGATTAAATGTCTCAAATAATAGATAATCATTAAAGCCATCGCGAACCCAAATTTTTCAAATATTCAAAGTTATTATATGTTCACATGTTTTACATTCTTCCCTTTCAGGCTTGGAAACAATCCATCAGCTAACTAAAGAGAGAAGTTACGAACTGAGAGTTGATTTAGCAGATTTTAACGGAAACACTGCAAATGCTAAATATGGGTAAGCATTAAAATACAGTTTACCATTATAAATTTTGAGACTAAACATTAAATTCTTGTATAATGAATCCACATCGACTAGTATTAATGATTCGATCATTTTGCTAATTCTCCCGCATATATACTGCAATAATATTCACTGATCGAAAACCATGTTTTTTCTCCATCGTCAAAAAATTTCAGTCACATGCCATATACAGCAGTTTAGTAAGTTGGGCGAAGTAAGTTGAATCAGGATCCATTTTTACGGATATTGTGTGTAATGTCGCTACAAGAATACATTTGATATTTTATTAAACGTTCACTTAACCTGCCAGAAATATCATTGAATCGAGCTTCATTTGTTTTCAGGACGTTCTCAATCTCATCTTCGAGCGATCGATATCGGTTGATACTTGGAGAATATTCTGGAACGGCTGGAGATTCATTGACCATTCATAACAATATGCAGTTTAGTACGAAAGATTCTGACAATGACAAATATTCCGGCAGCTGCGCAATCGATTACGGTGGCGCTTGGTGGTACAATCAGTGTCATCTTTCAAACCTGAATGGGATGTATTACCAGGACGGGCGAGTTATTACGAAATCCGTTAATTGGTATCACTGGAAATTAGATCGCCAATCTCTGAAATTCAGTGAGATGAAGTTCCGGAAAAAACAATAACTTCTCAATTGCTGCATTCAATGAAACATTTCAATATGTAATGTTATTACAATACTCTGTATATTATTAGTCCGTTGTGGTATCACGCGTTCCTCAAAAACTTTTTTGTATTAAATTAATGACTCAATAATGTAAAAAAATGGTTTCACCTATGTCTAATTTTTCCGTTTTAAAACTACATCAAAAATGAAGATTTGCTGAAAATATATAGAATGTGTAAGATATTGGGTTGACACACATTATCTCAATGCATGTGCTAAAGAAACTTCTTTATTAAGCGCAGTCTACTTTAATCGTGTATTTCATAATTGACCAACGAAAGCTTACAATGAATCTGAAATTCTGTGATTAAAATAGCATGTTATCGTCGTCACATTACTATTTTTGTTCAATTTTATTTTCGCAATGAATTATTTTCAGAGTTGCCGACAGCAATGTGAAGATATTTTGAATTACAGTCATTGTGCCGCTTCTGACAATAATTTTTTATTCGATTCATTAAATGAACGCGTTTTCATGAATTTATATTGCGAGCCTTTCGCATCAAGAGCATGAGTGGGAATCCGTTCTTGCAAAGTCTTGATATTAACGTACCTACTTTTTTTGTTTTAGAAGTTCGACGACTTAAGCAAATGGGTAATGTGTAGCACAGCTGATGACTAGCGTAACATTTGGCGTTTCGAAAGGTATGAACTAAATTTGTGAAAAGCGCGTCACGTTGATGTAGCTTACGTAATCACATACATACATGTTCTGAAATGAGGAAAGCTGTTGTTGGCGCGTTCGATGCAAAAAAGAACATGTTGTTAGAATTTTGAATCCCACACCTGGTCAACATACTTTGTCGCTTTATGTTTATTATGTATCGACTGTCTGTCCGTCGTTTATATGCATTTTACATACTATTTACTTGTTTATCGTTATAATTCTATTTGGCATCCGAGACAGGTGTTTCAAATGTCTGGAATAAATACCTAATAATATTCTGTGCAAAAAAAACGAAATCATTGTACTCTATCGCTATATTTCCATTCTTATAATCGTACTTACTGCTGTATTCAAAGGTCTGCGAGCTAATATATTTTATTGCTACGTTGAATCACACTTCCTATTATATTTTCTGCTACCTTTCTAATATAAAGTTCCCCATTGGGACAAACAAGTATGAATAATATACTCAAAATATTGCATTGAATATTGTTGTTTTTTTATCAAGTATGCATGGACCAATGAAAGCTTAGAATAAATCATTCTGTGATCGAACAATATTATATTATCGTCGTCACATAGTTTTAGATAAACACTATTCAAATATAAAAACCAGTGATAAATTCGAATACTCACTATTGAGTCTATATTATCATGCCTATCGATCTGTATAAAGCACTGATGCTTCATAAATCACTGATGGTTAATCACTAATTTATATTACTTCCAGATCGGAAGTTGTTGAACAGTTTAACAGAAGCAAGCAAATAGCAATGATGATCTATGTATAATATTACTATTTGTGTGTTATGGATTTTTGTTATTGAACAAGAATTAAACATATGGATCGTTTTTTATTATGTGGTTGTTTTTTACCTTGGTATTCTTCTTATTGTTGTGAAAAAAAAAATAGCTTTTCTCTTTAACTACTGGATCAATTGCTTGATCAAAATTTTCAGTTGTTAAATATTGTATTTTTCGCTAGAAGGCTATTACTTTTTGTGTCCATATATTTGAGCATAGCTCTCTTGTTCTCATAATCAAATGTTTTTTGATTGACAGGCAGCAGTGTAAAGATTTCACAAATCAAAATAACTAACTAACAATAAGCTACAAATAATACATAGTATGGCAAAAGTATGTTTATTCAAGAAACACGTTGAAAATACGTGGATGGAACGTAAATATTCAAAATAAAAAGTGTTCATATCCAAAAAAAGCGGACTAGATCAAACAAACAAATGTTTTTATTTTTAATTAGCTTCACGCCTCGTCAAAAAATTGTTTACGCCCCCCTTGTGAAACGCCCATCACCGTTTGAGGACCACTGGTCCAAATGGAACTGATCAAAAATTTATTTGTTTGAAATCATTCTTTGAAGGTGGTGAACTCTGTCACGCCTCATGTTGCTGTAAATATATACTGTGTTTCATGATATTTTAGATACCATGTTAAAATATAAAGAATCTAACAAGTCGCAATTGTTGAGTAAATGTAAGAATAGCTGGAGGTCAATGGAGTGCATATCCCCATAGCTATGGATACACGTAATTCAAATCTTCATTTGAATAACTCATTACAAAGCTGACATCATTATGATTAAGGAAGGTTAGAATGTTGATACAACAGATATGCACATGACAAAATGAAATTTGAATTTCTCTTCCCGAAGTAAGACATCTGAGTCGGTCCACCCTGGGAACCTAATCACGTTGGGATAAAAAATTTAATGATAAAATGTAGTTGATGTTTTATAGAAATGAATGACGAAAACGTACGAAGTGAACCTGCGGTATGGAACACCGTGTCAGGCAGGTTAGCAAAGGCCATGAACCACTGGTTAGCAATGCATTAACGTCATATTCTATGTTTGTGGACCAATAGCTTGATGATCTAATAATCGTTTTCGCATAGTCAGGGTTGATTCCAGAAATAACAATATTGATGTACGCAATCACGCGGTTTGATTTAATGAAATACTATAAAACGATCTGAACCATGGATTCCAAGTAACCTTTCGATGTCGTGGCACCCACCACCAAAAGACGCAGTGTGATATATATGTCTTCAGATAATGTTTTTATGACCCAAGAAAATAATATCAATCATGGTATGATATCCGTCACATATCTTCTACGTATTTTTATAAATTATGCCACAGAGTAACATTTTGTAATCAGTATAGTTGCCAAGATGTCTACTACACAGACAGAATTTCGTGGAAATTTCCCGCAAGTAAGGACGGTGGTACCAGATACGAATTTCTATGAAATCCCCATCTCGCAGTCAACAAAGAGCGAAGGTATGTTTTTTTATTAGATTTATAGTCGACGCTCCAGAAGTATGTGCACCAAGATGGCGCACAACCTGATTACCCTAACCTGATACACATACTATGTTCAGGTTGTCCGCCATTTTGGTGCACATACTTCTGGAGCACCATATAGTCAACTCACGCTATAGTATCGAGAACCGGCATTATGCTGTTGGTAAGATAATAAGAAAGAAAGGCTCTTATTTGTGCTGGCGTATGAATATAGGCAAAAGTATTAGTATTCATGAAATATCAGAATTAATGTGGGCTCTAGTATTATAGCCAAAGAAAATTCTGGTTGCTATGGAAAATATAAAGCACTTCGCATGAAATATATGGCTAATATTCGGCTAATGTTTGTATTAACAAGATAGCAATTTTCAAATACGGTATATATGAAAGCCAAAATAAAGTAGTATCATCTTTCACAGTATTGGTAATCTTCTTTATCAAAAAACTCCCGACTATGATGACCACCAGATCCCTGAAATGCGATCGCGGTACCGACAAATGGGTGCGCAATTTTTTTTTCATTTTGTTGGGGTCATCACACAAAACTTCATAGTGAAAAACGAAATTGAAATGAAATAAAAGCAATAGATTTCTAGCGACAACAACAATCTTCAACCACTGGACTGGGCTTATTTTGAAGCAATTGGCCCTTTAGCTAACGAGAGAAGCAATATTTTCACAAACACAAGTATACTAACCGCAACAAAAATTGAACACACGATCCATAGAGCCACACTTTGTGTCCAACAAGTAAATTCTGTTATTATTTTAGGTAATAAAGACACAACAGTAAGAAGAGGACTGATTGCTCTGGCAATATTTTCATTAATGGTTGTTGGGCTTGTTGTTTTCGGTTTTGTGGTCATCATACAGGTTGGAAATATATATCTGGGATCGTTTTATCATTAAAACGGAAAGTGTGAATGTATTTGCATAATAAACATACCTCACAGTCAATTTCACTAACAGTGGGACTGACTCATTTTCAATAACAAAATTCTAAATGCAGAACAAAGTACAGAAGAATCTTTAAAACACGAGAAACTTTAAGGTCTTTGCTGTCTCTCCAACTATTATATTCAAGATATAATGTTGTTATTATATGTCCAAACGTGAATATTTGATCAAAACATCAAATAAATTTTTGTTAACAAAAATTGTTTATAATGAAGTGTTTTAACTAAAAGCAATAATGGATGCAAAATTTCACGGGCTTCAGATGTACTTTTTTGAAATATATTCAAAGCTATTTTTAAAATGGCTGAACTTGATTTGATATCTTAAACTAGGTTCGAGTTATACGCTTTTTTTTAGATCAACCGCCAATTACAGTCTCAAATTCAGTAGTAATGATATATAGTAGGTGACATGTTCAGCATTTCGCTGTTCTAACAATCAATTGGTTTTCTGTGGATAGGAACCAAAACTATCCAATTTCTTTAATATTTTCAAGTTGACACTGAAAACGACTAATTGATATTCACAGCTTCAGAATGAGATAAAAACTATGAAAGTCGAAATGGCACATCAAGGAAACCACCCAACCTTTGAAATTTCACGCTTAAATCATTCCGTAGAACTTCTGCTGACGGCCATACGAGGTAACTAGAACACACATCAAATTGCCGAGAATATGCCTCGCGTATCCGCATAAGCCATAATGTTTCTCGCGGAACCAAAATGAATATGCTGGGGACAATGGAACTAAGTCACGTACTCCAGTTCCACTACTGCATTTCAATGTCATTCGAATTCTTTTCAATACTGCATTGCGATATATTAACTATAGTTCTGAAATAAGCTATTGGTTCCGTATTTAATGTCATCAATGTGAAATAAATTGGAATTTTGTTATTTCACACAGCAATTCGTCCTTCACCACACCTGTCATTTCGATACCGTACTCAGTTATTAGTTAAATATTTTTTTTAATTGAGGTGATAAATAAAACAAATTTGATTATTCAATTGGTTGAGGTATTGTGTCGGACTCCTTGTGAGCCTCAAGGCCAAATCTTTTAGCGACGTAAATGATCTTGAAAAGACATTTTTCACTTTAGTCTCCAAAATTTTTTAAAGGTTTCCCAAAGAACTGCACAACTGTAAACCGTCAAATTGCAAAACGTCGAAACACAACCGGCGGAGTCTTTGATATTTATCCTGAATCGGAAGACAAGCCTGCCGAAGTTTACTGTGATCTCGAAACGGATGGAGGCGGATGGATTGTATGTTGATCCTTATTTTAATAATTGCTTTCAAGTAGCCAACATTAGTATCTTTTCTCTTTTAACTTATTTTTTCGAAACACTCACGCAAATGGTGATATAGAATGAACAATTCGGTTCATTTCAGAAATAAACCTAATTCATTACTAATGGAAACAACTTTAACAGCATTTGTTATTTGTAATAACGAATAATCTCTCACAAACTAAAAAGATTACTTTTTTTCTTTTGAAGAATTTTATTGAAATTCCGGAAACTTTTAGATAAAGATATCGTCACGTCGTGTAACCGTTTAAATATAATTTGAAAATGAACTCATTGATAAGTTGATAACTGAGGCTAAAAAATCACAGTTGAAACATAATTTGTTATAATATTTCTAAGGTCTTTCAAAGACGAATGGACGGAACGGAAGACTTCTACAGAGGATGGAACGACTATGTTAACGGCTTCGGAGAAAAAGATAAAGAAATGTGGTTAGGTGGGTGTAGCCATAACAAAAGTAAAAGTTTCGCATTTGATCTATTCTATTGCATCCGAGGGCTGGCAAATTTTGTGGTGTGAGTCTGACCATCATTAAGTAGCAAATGTTACAGTTAGTGATAGAAAATAGCATACGTGCAGCAGAATTCACCAAAAGTCTCAAAGTTTCATCCGATTTCCTTCAGTCGAGTTCTCATGATAAATTAAATACCCATAAACAAAGCTGCAAGGGAGAAAAAACTTTGGTATGACGATTCTTGCTAACATGTTTGAAGAGGTGGTCTCTGCGACAGCTAGCCATAAATGAAACAAAATTAAAAATTCTCAACTTAGATCAGAATTTCGCAAACTCCGTTGAGCTTTTTTAGGAAAATTTCATGTGAAATTGGGGGTTCGATGAATATAAGTCGCTCTAATTAACACTTTGAAGGCATTGTAAAAGTTTTTGTAATTTATTTTGAACATTCATAAAGTTTGAGATTGCCAATGATAAATTGAATATTATTTTCTTGCTTGACGATGCAATGCAGCTAGTTGTTCATATCTTTTGCTTTCACTACATTTAGGCTTGGAAACAATTCATCAACTGACTAAAACGGGAAGTTACGAACTAAGAGTCGATTTGGGAGATTTCAATGGAAACAACGCTTATGCCAAATACGGGTAAGTGCGTAAGTGGCAAGGTATAATTAATCCCTATAAATGTGACTGGAAGAACAAAATAGGGTACTCCCGCAGTGTGTGGACCAAGGAAAATACCTTTATATATAATATTGAGTCATAAGATTATTTTACGTCATCTCATAAGTGAGGTTTAGTCCATGAGCCATTAGTATTACTAAGTTGTTATTATAATTTCACCATTTCCGCGGGTATCGGTTCTTTATATAATATAAAATATTGGCACATACACTTCTGGAGCGTCCAAAATAGTTCTGCCCCAAGTATACAGTTATTTATTTGTGTTGCAATAATGTTCAATGACAGCCAACGAGAGTTCTCTCTATATTTACAAAATTTGAGTCATATAACATCAAAACAGTAGTTTGTCATCAAAAAATTAGTTTTGTGTCACGATGAGATATACAAAACAACATATGTGTTGAGGATAAATAAAGCACAACCGGTGTTATCAAATCAAGAATGTTCAAATAAATTGAATTTGAATACATTCGAATTTCGATGTTGTGAATTCTTTATTTCATCTATAATTTAGGATATTTTTATTTGAACATGTCCTTTTAAGCATTTATTATCTTATGATAGACAAAACTTTAGTAACTACTGGCATAACAATAGAGAATACTAATTGTCCCAATTTCTCTGCATAACTAAGTTTGATTCTACGAAATCACGAGTGTTTTGCGAAACGGACCCATTCCAGAATATGTTCGATATTTCATATCCGAAAAGATTAGTTTAAAATGTATTTGATTTCGAGTCATGACAGCCTATATTTTAACGACAAGTTGTCCGTTTTTACAGGATCTTCTCTATCGCATCTGCAAGCGATAAATATCGGCTGACACTTGGAGAATATAATGGGACTGCTGGAGATCCATTCACATATAATAACAACTCACAGTTTACTACAAAAGATTTTGATAATGATCGTAATGATGTCGACAGTTGTGCGGTAGATCGGAAAGGAGCTTGGTGGTACAATTGGTGCTCAAATACAAATCTGAACGGCGTATACTTCAATTATGGGAAAACGGATCGCACCTCAATCTACTGGCATAACTGGAGGCAACTTCAATCCTTAAAATTCACAGAGATGAAATTTAGATTGAAGACTTAATTTCACATCATGAAGTCGTTGCATCGCACAGAAAACAAAGGATATTTTTAGATTGAATTATTAATGGTTATTCACAATTAATTTGGTGATGGGAGACATTGTCTCCGTTAATAGCTGGTTAAATTACTATAGACCTATTTCAATCAATTACTTGACCAAACACTTAATTTTTATGTATAATTTCCTAATACTAAGTTTCAAAATATTTCCACGAAAATTAATTCTCCAATCATATCGCGACGATACGAATAAGAAAATACATAAACTATATGAGATTATTATAAAATAACTTAAGTTTTTAATTTTAATATAGTCTTGTTCTCGTTTCCAATTACTCTTTTAATACTGATCTAATATTGAAACAACGTGAACAAACTATTGACAAAAATTTACATTACTATTGTAGTCATGTTCTGCTGAGTGCTTATACGAAAATTATCGCATGCTTTGCTTAGTTGTAATTAAGTGGGCCCTTAGATTGGAATACTAAATTCTTTTAATCGGTTCGGACAAAAATCGAATCGCCGCCATCTTTTTTTTCGTACGCTAAAGGTTGAGGTGGATTCTTTTTTGACCCCCATTACAAATAAAAATGTCACGTACAATCGCATATATCTCAGTGTTCGACATTCAATTCGAAAATATATTCTATTCGATTCTGAAAAAATAAGGTATTCGAGAACGACAAGCCCTAGTTGTAATAACCAACCTCTGGTTTACCACGTATTTTTGATTTAATTGGTTTTCATATATTTGATTATAATTGACCAATTATTATTGTTTTGCACAACGTTTTACATTTTTTGCCGTGCATTTATCTTGTTGAATTTTCTCATATGTTTCTTTCTTGTTAAAAATAGTTTAATATTAAAGTTTTTCAAATATCTTTCATCATGATTACCTTTACAACCAACGCCATAGTTATACATATGTTTACTCAAGTTGGCGCTTTGATAATGGTTTGCAAGTTCCTAATATTAATAATTTTTAATCGCAATATTTGAGCACACACCATTTGAAATGACTGATAGATATAATTCGCTTAGTCTGATAGCGATACAGATTCATCCAGATCGAGGTATTTACTACCAGTCTATTCGTTACAAGTACAACTAATGTAAAACTGGTTGGAAAAAATAAAGACCATTTATTTATACAAAAATTTTGGAATCACGACTAGAATCTGCCAAATTGCCTGAGTGGCTGCTAAAATAAAATATCGAAAGTAATCACAGAGGTTGATGCTCGGGAAAACATTCATAGATCAAAAGCCGCATAAACGCTTTAGCATTCAGTTGATATGAACTGTAATTATGCATGCAACTTCAAACTAGCCTACTGTTTATTTATTTTGTTTGGCCCCAAATTCATTCGTACACTCACTCGCTTTGAATCATTTATGAATATTTGCATATATACATCAATTACTTCAACTGGATTGTGAAATTCCCCCTCCAGCAGTTGGTGTTTTGACTTAAATGCAATCTCGAGAAATTTATATACTGATTGGATAAAATAAACTTGACCTGACAAAGCAATCTGCGATTTCAACTTATATCCCTCTTGGATAAGTTATCATTTTGAAGCGCAACTCGTTTACGCGACGGGACGCACTGGGAATCTAATCTTTCTTTTTATATGTTATCAACTAAGACAATGTTTTCCCAAACTTTTTGTTCGTGCAACGTCAAATTACCAGGAAAAACATTTCTCACGGCGCACTTACACTAAAAATAAACCGCACCAAAATGTAAATTATTTGATCAGGTAATAGCACTATATTGTCTGATAATAAGTTTTGCTAAAAAAATATATATGCTGTTCGATGATTCTATTTTAATTTACTTCTGAAGTCGTTGCTAATATTTTATTGACTTAGTCTATCTAGGACCTAGGTCATTGTATACAATTTGTTACAGTATTTCGGTATTGGAATAACACTGATCATTCGCACACTGTAAATCTATCATCCTTACCAACTATTATTTAATGCGATCCACACCCCTATTAATAATTTCATAGAGGAAATTGTTAATGAAACAACCTCATCCTAGTGCAAGCCAAATTCATTAGTGATTAGTGTCCAACTACGCCTAAATTTTGTCGAGAAATGGTTATCAATTAGGACATATATATCTACTGTTATTCAACTGTTGAATTACGATTAGTTTTGTTAAATGTAAATAAATATAACAAATGCCGCATAGATTGTGTACAATTTCTTCGCGCTAATAATGGCACACAGTACCGTGTTTTCCCGAAAATAGAACAGGGTCTTATCTCAATTTTCTTTCGGAAAATAACACAAGGGTTCATTTGGGGGAGATCTCTTTTATTTTCATTTATCGAAAACAAAATGACAAAGTGGAAAATTGCGAGATTTTTAAATACACAAAATATGAGAACTGATATTTATTCACACATAAATAACACGTTTTTATTTACAATGTCTCATTTTTAAGGTGAGGACCTATGATGAAAATAATTTAAAAATTTAGGCTAGGTCTTATTTTCGGGGAATCACGGAGTACCGGTAAATATATACACATTTCTCGTGGCCAGGTTGTACACATCAAGCCAGGATATCCGGAACCAAATAATACATGTAAATACTGTAACCTACCTTTATTAGCCGCAGCCCGCAGACATATATCGCCCATCAGTTTCTTTTCGCCATCTTCCGGTACACCCAAATTGCGGTTGCTGTTTAATTATCCACATATTTTGTGTTCCCAAATTGTAGCAGAAACTGGCATTTCCGTAGTGTGAGTACCAGCTTCAGCAGGTTAGGGTTAGGCCATAATTTTATTCCGATTTTTTTTTATTTTAGTTGTATTATGAGTTCGGAGACTGTCTGTGTTAACCAAGTGAATATACCTCATGCCCATAGGTTTCAGTCTCTTTACACAACTTGATGTAAAGTAGGCGAACAAAATTGGATACTTCCATATTGGTACACACACTTCTGGACCGCAGAATAACTAGCTGTACCGGTAGACAAATAATTTTACACCTGTAAAATATAAATACAACTAAATTCATACCATGTTTAATCGAACAACGTAATTCATTCAGCAACCATAGCCTATGTAGAGTACCAACCAGTTAACTGGAAGTACAGAATGAAAAAAAATCAAGATATCGTCGATAAATGCAAACCAAACACTATAAAAACAAATTTTCAAATGTTATAATGCCTGCGATACCGGTATGAAATATGTGTATTACATCATAATCACAAAATGAAGACTCGCAGTGCAACATTTGAAAAAATGTTAAACATAACTACCCACGTACCCAGATATTTACTCATTCGAAGGCCAGCAGTGACCCGGGAAATTTTACATCAAAATTGCAGAGTAGCGTGATTTTTCTATTGATATCAGACAAAGAGAGAATGTTCACTATTTACTTTTGATGGCGCCTTCGGTGTAATGATACGCAAGTTTTCCTTTCAGCAGTCAAAACAATACGTTGGCACAGTGCACAGAAAAACGAATTGGAAACACAAAGACGGGAATGGCATCCCAATCACGCAATAGTTCGTTTTCTGCACCTCTCTCATATATTCCCTTCTCTAATCGCTTATATTTATTTCGAAGTCAATTTATAACAGTTAGCAAGTAACATTAACCAACATGACAAAATTTCTCGAGAGCTCACTCATTACTTATCGATCTTTAGATCGGTAAGTATGTTGATAGATATTTGTCTGTCTGTTAGATGCACGCGATATCTCACGAAAGCGTGGTTGAATCTGCTCCAACTTTTGCATGTGCATTCATCATATCTCGGATCAAAAGCCTATTGATTTTGGATGAATTATGTCGCATAATTAGCGAGTTATTATTTAATTAGTGAAGGGACACGCGGTGTGACTATAGAGTCATGAATCCAAACCGCAGTTTCGATCGATAAGTCTTCAGTCTCCGACCGATATTCTCGTTTGTTACGACATAATATATTTTTTGTAGCCATATGTCATGAAAGGACAAAAAGAGTTTGAATAAATAACGAATTTTTAACAAACGACAATGAATAAACGAACACCGAGTTTCATCAGAGTCTTGAAACTTTTTATCTGAAGGAGAATGATCTTGTTTACGAGGCTGCGCTCGCGTGCCACGCCCACCCCTGTCCTATGGTGTCAAGTACGTTTCGTTATTCTGTCTTGAAATATAAATTTAATATAGTATCTTAGGTGCTCGAAAGCGGTAGTTTAAGTACAACGCTCTTATTTTATAATTCTGGTTTTGTTAAGACCAACACGTGAGAGTTGGACCATCTGATTGTATGGACGTATGTACGCCAGATAGAAATATCTCCGCGTTGCGACTTAACTGGTTCATTTTTCTCTATTGGGTCATTGAATAACATGGATACATAAGTAATACATAAATTGGCAAACGGCAAAGGTCTAGTTTGTTGCTATGACATGTTGTGTCTGACATTGTTTAATATTGGTTTATCATCTGTGTTTCGTAAGTTGAAAATATAGAATACCGCGACTTAATTAAGCAGCATATTCTACTTTAAAAATACAAGGTGACCCGCTAAAAATGGAACCATAAATTTCTCAGTTTCTTCTTCGAAAATGAAGTAAATTATTTAATTTTGTCTACACTTGAAATTAACTCCTCTTTGTGTAAGTTTGTACCCAAAAATTTCGGAAATCTATGACGTTTTGCATACTGTTCACCCAGAATATGTTCCGAATGCCCTCCTCGGCATTGAAAACAGCCTTTTCGCAAAATTGCACACGTTGGAGTAGCCTCGTATTCTGGAACCACTGCTGGTCACTTCTATCTATTCCCCAAAGGATGTCCAGCACTTCCTCGGCATACCACATAATGTTTCGCATTCCCCGTTTGAACTCTTTCATTTCCTCCCACAAACCAATAGGCACCGATTAGGATTCATTTTTGGAAATAATTGCCCATTTCGTGCATATTGCAGAAAGTAAAAGTCTCTGCAAGGCTTTTCCTTGGAGGTGCTGCGCC